GTTTATTCGAGATTCCGGAACTTCGCCAATTTTGACTTTCGCCAATTATTGGCAAAATTTCACAGAATGTATTGGCGAAAGTTCAATGGATCTTCGCCAATTGGCGACTGTCCAACAGATATACTGGTGAATGTCGACTGAACTTTCACCAATTGGCGAATTTCCAAAAGATATACTGACGAATTTCTTAATGCTGCTGCACAAGTAGTAACAGGCATATGATTAACAATAGCTATCTGAAAAACTCGAAATCATATCATATATACTAAACTTTTTACCTATGTATTGATATGAACAGATGTTCAATGTGTTATACTTCGTACTTGTTAACATACAAATGATATTAGACTTATTTCGAATAAATCTAAAACTACAAATAAAAATTTTGATCATGTCATTTCCAACAATTTTCTTAGCATGTATTTGTTGCTGATCTCTTCGATCAATGCCACTATCATTTTTCAATTGCCCAACATCTGAAGGATTTACCGGCGCAAGTCCAGTGGAAATTCGCCAATTGGCTAATCTGAGGACAGTAAACTGGCGAAAGATCAATGAACACTCGCCAATTGGCGAATGTCAGGAAGGTACATTGGCGAAAGCACAGTGGACTTTCGCCAATGGCGAAAGTCCAAATTGCGAAAGTCTTATTCGCGAACTTCCGGTAACCCGTTTATTCTTCTTTTATTTACCTTAGTTTTTTTCATCTTGGAAAAAATGAGTTTCTATTGCACGCCTTCAACTTGTAATACGCAATTGTATGTTGGTAAGTTTTTCTACCAGTTAAAATGATTACGTTTCTTTTTCTCACTTATAAATACATATCATTACTCTTCAGTAATACATCACAATTAGAATAAAGTAAGTTCCTTTGGATTCTCAACAAAACTTTAAACAGTAACGAGAATACTTTTGATTATTCACTGCCAACAGCACTCGAGAACTGTTCAAACACTAAAGCAATTAACGAAATTCATCAATGCAACCTATAGGAAGTCATCATAGGAAACTTATATAAACTGTTTTAGACTTAAGAAACAGTTAGCAGCTATCGTGAACAATGAATCTGCAAGAATGTAAATTACAGATGCACGTGGTGCTCTATTTTTCTTTTACATAGAGTCCGTTCTTCGAGGTTTAATTATCTACTATATTGATCTTAGGAATAACTTGAGGATGCGGCTATGAAATAGCAAGAGACAAAATGAAGGTGAATACAACGTTCTTTTATACAAATGATATTATATTGCTGAAGTAACTAAGACATGTTTTTTTTGATAATTTTTAGATGAAGAGTCTTTCACGAAGACATTTTTTTGACAAATGATGTCATAATAATACGACAAACTGGTATTTAAGGAAGGTTCACAAACAGCAATACTATATGGCGTTGCAGAATACTTGCCTACGTACTTCTGAGAGTTTTATTGTTATTTGGTTGGATCAAAAAGTCAATGAATATTATGCAGAAGTTCAACACGTTATTGAACAATTACAACGTTTCGTCCGTTCAGCGAAAACAATCGTTCATGCTGAGCACTGTATCGATTATCTTACTGATATAAAAAATGAAAAAGCATTTTTGATTTTATCTAATAACTTAGCTGAACAACTTATTCCTCTTATCAAAGATATACCACAACTCTCTTCGATATATATATTCTCTAATGACAGTGATAAGAAAAAACAGGAACAGAGTACAAACGATTGTTACAAAGTAAAGGGTATTTTCAATACAAGTGAATCCTTGTGTATTGATCTCAAAAAAGATATCTGCCAAGCTGACATAAATTTGATGCCAATTAGTGTCGTTTCTATGCCATCTGTTCCTTGTTTGAATCAACTGAATCCGTCATTTATGTATTCACAACTTCTGAAAGAAATTCTTCTCAAAATGAAATACGATGAAAAATCAAAGGAGCAATTCATAGAACTCTGTCTTATAGAAGAGGTTGAAAACGAATCATCGCATCGCATAATTGATGAATTCGAACAGAATTACCATTCCTCACGGGCTATCTATTGGTACACTCGAGACTGCTTCATTTATCGATTGCTTAATCAAGCACTTCGTGATCAAAATATCGATATTATTAACAAAATGGGCTTTTTCATTCAAGATCTTCACCGGCAAATCGAATGTCTGCACTCAAACACAGATAATCAAAAACTGTCGAATGTATATCGAGGCCAAGGTATGTTCAATACTGAATTTGAAACTTTGCACAGAAGCACCGGTGGACTCCTTTCATTCAACAGTTTCCTTTCAACAACAACTGATGAACGCGTAGCATATGCACGTGCCGATAGCGCTCGAGATGACTCTAAACTTATAGGTGTTCTTTTTCAAATAGAGATTGATTCATCTATATCAACAACTCCATATGCATCAGTAGACACAGTCAGTTATTACCATGATTCAGAAAAAGAAATCTTATTTTCGATGCATACTGTGTTTCGAATTGGTCGGATGGAACAAATCGAGAATCGATTGTGGACAGTAAAGCTAACATTAACAAGGGATACTGATGAAGATTTAAATCGTCTTACCAATTATATACGCAAAGAGATTGGTGAACAAATAGTATATGGCCAATTAGCTAATCTGATGCTGAAAATGAGTGAATTAAACAAGGCAGAAGAAAACTATAAAGCAATACTAGAATCGACATCCACCAACCTTTCATTTAACGATAGTGCATGTCTTCACAACAATATTGGATACGTCCTGACTCAGAAAAACGATTTAAACACTGCTTTCTCATATCTAAAAGAAGGATTAGAAAAACGGCAAAAATATCTTCCACCTAATCATCCAGATCTAGCAGCATCTTACAATAATATGGGGGAGTTGTATCAGTCAAGAGGCGAATTTTTAGATGCACTGTTTCACCATCAGAAAGCACTCGAAATATGGCAAAAATCTCTTCCATCCAATCATACCAATCTGTCATTTTCATATAACAACCTTGGTGAAGTGTACCGGTCTATGGGAAACCTTTCAGCCGCACTCTCTCACCACGAGAAAGCGCTTAAGATACGGCAGGAAAATTTGCCACCTACACATCCAGATCTAGCTATGTCACACAATAACATTGGCTTGGTGTATCAATCAAAGGGACAGTATGCAACTGCACTCTCTCATTTGGAGAAAGCACTTGAAATAATGCAAAAATCTTTGTCATCTAACCATCTCGCTCTAGCTACGTTACTCAACAACATTGGTGAAGTGCATATGTCTATGCATGAATATTCATTAGCGCTTTCGAATCATAAAAAGGCACTGGTAATTCAAAAGAAATCTGTTTCACCTAATCATCCCGATATAGCTACGTCATACAAACACATCGGTATGGTGCATCATTATATGGGAAAGTATTCAACTGCACTGACAAATTACAAGAAGGCACTCGAAATTTTCCAAAACTCTCTTCCACCTAATCATCCTGATATAGCAAGATCACACAGCAACATTGGTATGTTGTATCACTCAGTAGAAGAATATTCACTTGCGCTTTTGCACTACGAGAAGGCTCTCGAAATATATCAAGCGTCTCTTCCACCAGACAATATAGAGGTTATAGTGCTGCCATTAATGATAGCAGCAGTTCGAGGACAAAAAAATTCCAATCATTGCGAAAAGAGTGCACAATTTTTGGTAAAAGCTAGAGGCGTCGGCTCTCGTGGTTGTAATTTGCGTCAACCTCAAACGTTGGTACCCGAAGATGAACTGGATTAGTTTCCGTCTGAAAACTTGGTAATCAATGTTGTATCGAATAGAAGAATCTATTGGTAAATTGTCTCCTCATGCAGTCTGTTATACCATTGATGTTGTTTGTGCCAAAAATCATCTTGAAAATGTTTAAACATTTTCAAAATAATTTTGTTGTTATGGGTGGGTGTGGGTGTGGGTGTGAGTGGGGTGTGGGTGTGGGTGTGGGGTGTGCGGTGTGGGTGTGGGGGTGGGGGTGTGGGCGTGTGGGCGTGTGGGGTGTGGGTGCGTGGTGTGGATGTAGGTGTGGATGTAGGTGTGGGTATTTCTTTCAACTACACCCACCCTCAAGCTTTTGATAATATGTTTTTGAGAAATTAATTTCGAAAAGAAGTTTTACTGCCAAGCTTTGAACTACAGTTCGAAAGTGAATATAGTTTCATTCTAAAGTTTATTGCTTCACCTAAAAAATTGAGCTTGCGCCGCCCATGCTTGGGTTTGAAAGAAATATTTAAGAGAACTATGCTTTTCATCTTTAGTCCAAGTAAGACCCAATAAAATACATATCATATTAAATCAGGATTTTTTCACATACATTAGTATAAATTTTCTTTTTAAATATGAATCTTCTGAATGAATTAATATAACACACAAAGTTTTTTTTTGTAGAAAATAAAAGAGAAGTATTGAGATATTTCCAGAAATCCAAAGAAAAAGAAAAAAATTCTTTTTTTCGATTAAATATTATGAGTAGATTTTCCACAAGTGACACTAAATAGCAAAGATAAAAATTATTTCTTTATTAGTTTTATTAAAATTAATGACATACATTGCAAGAGAAGAAAGCAAATAAAACAACAAAAATTAAAAAGAAGGATGTGCTCTTGTGCTGTTCTCTTTTTCAAAAGAATCTGATATTCAGACAATCTTAGATCTCTACGAATAAAATTCAATAAAAACCATTTCTTAATTAATTTTACTGAACATTTTAAAAAAACGTTGTATCCTAGCTCGATAAACGATGAGAGTTTGACGAAATTGTTTTTTATAAAATTCTGATGGTAATACGAATAGAATAAATGTAAGCATCGGTGGAATGAATGAAATAAAATATCCTATAAGAAATAACCATGAATCATCTGTTGATTTTATATGTTTTGATAGAAATGAATTAAACGTGGTAATGCAAGAATAACCAACACAACAGGAGCTATAAATGAGATTTCTTTGCTATTAGGACAACAGCCGATACTATATTAATAATAAATGGAGCAACAAAATGAAAGGTTTATATGAAAGAATTGTATGTTTGTAAACGAGATGGATAAGTAGCAATATACCATATTCGTTCATCATCTTCATTATCTTCATCAATCAAACGTCGATAAAGAGAATCATAAATATTTGTAGAAACAGTGAAAATTAAAAGAATAATAATAATTATTTCAGCAATGCATTTACTTTTTTTCTTATTAAAATTGATACCTTTTGATACTGTAATAGCTCTTTCCATAGCTGCACATGCATTTAACCATTGATCCATAGTACGACAAACTCGTAAAAGAAAATCAAAAGACAAACATTGAATTTGTAAAAATAGTCGATTAGAAATAATTGTCATTTGTGCAAGAATAAGTATCCAAAATTTTAATCCAAATATAACTATTGTTAATAAAGTTGTAATTGATGAACCTAATAAATACAAACCACAACCAACTTGTCATTCTAGTGTATTGTTGAAGATTATAAGTGATAAAATTCCATCAATAAATCCTGCAAATATACCGATTATTGTTAGTGTTAAACTAAATAATGCTATAGTTGGTTGATTAAGAAGATCACTATTTCGTTGAATATGATAACCTAAGATAGCATCAAGTGAGAGACCAAATTCATTTACACTAAATTGACATTGTGTTCCATAAAAACATGGTGGACACATACATACTGATCTTATTGAGCATATTGGATCGTCTTGAAAACATTGACTTCTACATTCACAAGAATTTTGACCGACACAATTATAATTCATATTATGATTAAATTCAAAACAATTAGTTAAACGTTGTTTTTGAAAATCATAACATAAACACATCAGAGTTGTAACCGGCCCGGCGAAACCGGCCCGGACCGGCCGGTCCGGTCCGGTGCCGGGCCGAGCCGGTTTGAACAGCTAGACCGGCCGGCTTTTACCGGTTTTTGCTGGTTTGAAAAAGTTGTGTTATTATTAATTTTTTAATAAGATAATATTATTTATTTCTGTTCATTACAATTTTTGAAACGAAAAGAGCAAAAGTTTTGTTTTTCGATGTAAATTCAAATTTTTCTATTCATTAAATTTCCTCTTAGAAGATTTCTATTATCTGCTATTTACAACATCTTAATAATCAGAACAGTGTCACATATTGATTGTTATTTTTTTTTTATGTATTCCTTTTGATATTAATTCAATTCTTGTTAACATGCCAACACATCTTTAATTAAATTAATAACAAAGAGAGTAGGCCGTCAAGCTGATTGTACAGATAGATATACGCACGATACGATAAGTATTCGTCATATTTTTTTTTTATTCAACACAGTAAAAGTAAGTAACATAAACTTCTTATTTTTATAATTATTATGGATGCGAACACATAGTTTGTTAATTTAATATGTATCATTAGGATATTTTTTTTTGTGTAAATTTTGTATATAATAAAAGAAGAAATTTAAATCAATTATCAGCTTTTGCAGAAAAGAACTTTGTTTTGTCCAGAACATATTCAATCGTAGAAATCTATGTTATTGTTTGCTATGAAAATGATAATATACATGAAAAAGAAAGTGTAAAAACCAATTTATGGATAAAAGGTCTATGTCTAGAACTAGTTTTACCATGTAAAGAAAATTCATACGTCTGTCGGTTTTTGCCGGTCTAGAAATATTTTTAGACCGGCCGGTCACCGGCCGGGCCGGGCCGGTATAAGATTTAAACCGGTCAGGCCGGTCCGGTCTGAATTTTTTTTGACCGGTTACAACTCTGAAACACATATGAATATCCTCATAAAAACAAGAAAGATTTGAATTTTTTGGACATGGTATATGATAATATTTGATACGACGAAGAAGATGCCATTGAATGAAGCTTTCATTAAATAATTCGCTTATATTTTGCCATCGATCAGATTGATTTAGCATTTTATTAATTATTGTTACTTGTTGATAAGTATTTTGCGTATGAACTAAATAATAAACTCTATTATAAATTTCACTGAAAACAAGATTAAATGGTTTGGACCAAAATATTGTAAGTGATCTTTGTGTGGGAGGTATTGTTCGAAGAGTTGTTGTTCATTTTGGAAAATCATTGTCAATAACTTCTATGAAATGTATAAATATTGATGAAGATAAAATTTTATCATTGCTAAATGATAGAATAATTTTATTATCAACTATTTCACATCGATCACCAGCATAACCTTGCGGGCATATACATATGAACTTTTGCTTTGATAGTATCCGTATATCATTAGGAATATATCGACCACCATTTTGAGGGTGTGGGTGTGGGTGTGGATGCAGATCTGGTATTCACTCACACCCACACCCACACCCACACCGACACCCACACCCACATCCACATCCACATCCACACCCACACCCACACCCACACTCACACCCACACACCCACATCCACACCCTCACATCACCCACACCCACACCCACACCCTCAAGTTTCACATAAGTTAATTTTTTACCACCTCCATCGAGACGCTTGCGTTTTTTACCTGATGGAAACAAAATTAGAGATTAAGTTACTTTTTATATTTAATAAAAATAGATTATTCACCTTTGTTTTGAGATGCCAATCTTAATAATTTATCTTTATTCTGGATCCACACCCGAAGTTGTTTTGTAGCACATCCAACGTCTTTGGCTGTTTGCTGTTTGCTGTTGTTTTTTTCGAAGCAGGCGATTGCATTTAACTTTTCGTTTACGGTCCATTGACGTCGCTTACGCTTTTTCATAATGGTTGATGTTGATGAAGACGTAATATCGACATTGCTGTTGTTATTAGAAGATGTAGATTGATGAGATGATTATAATAAGTTTTCATTATCACTGGATGATTCTGACGATGAATAATTAACGAGTGGTGCAGGTTGAGTTGAAGAATAATTTTCATCGCTATCATCGTCGCTGTCCGAATTAAGTTGTAGATAAGTAGTCCATTTAATTAATTCATTTTCATTTTCATCGACAACAGACGTAATTTCAACGCAGGAATCATCGTCGGAACTAGATTCGTCCAAAAGTGAGTTTGTAACAGCGCCTGGTAACGGTGCCAGATGCTCTTCGATTTGGTACATAATTAATGAAAAAACAATTCGAGAAAAAGATATTTTAATTGAATGACATATGAACAATACCGTCGAAATATGTTTGTATATATATGCCTATTCAGCCTATTCATTCAGCGCATATCTCTCGTTCAAATGGTTACATTATGAAACATTACAATACGTGTGCGATTGATTGTTATGTATTAATTTCGTCGTTCTTAAATAAGATTAAAGAATTGTTCTGTCATGTACATCGATATTTATTTCATGTCGAGTTATAAGATTGAATTGTTTTAACTTTATTTTACAAATATATTATTGAATGTATGATAATGAAAAAGATAAAGGAAGAATATACAACAATTTTATAAAGCGTGATGAGCATTTACTCAAGTCCTGTGAATGTTCAGAAGAAAATTGGTTGATTTTTAAAAAATTCTAAATCTCGGACTTAATACAAGCCCATGGGCTTCTAATACGTCTTTCATATTGCTCCTTCCAGAGG